GAGAAAAAGAGGAATACCCCCAACAAGATGGATTGACAGTGGCAGCATCAATGGGCTCAAGTGTGGCAACAATTGTGAGGTTGGCCCAGGACCCCAGGCAGTGTTTTGTTCTGTTGTACGTAGGGTTGCTATGAGTTGGTACCCACTCAATGGCACCTAACAACAACAACAACATCTGTATACAACTATGAGTCCCTGGTGGTGCATAGTTAATGCATTCTAATGCTAACCAGAAGGTTAGGTGTTTAAGTTACCTTAGAACAACTGGCGATCTTCTTAGGAAAATTTGTTGTTGTTAAGTACTGTGGGGCCAGTTCTCATAGCAACCTTGAATAGTGTTTCCAAGGAGCAGCTGGTGGTTTTGAACTGCCTATCTTGTGGTTAGCCCCTCAGTACTTATCCTACAGTGCCACATCTGGACTGAAAATCTGTGGGACACAGTTCTGCTCTGATCCATGGTCACTAGGAGTCAGAATTTACTATTGGAAACTACTAGGCCTATAAGTGATTCCTAGAAAGTCATGTGTTGGGTTTTCCTGTGTGCAGTGACCCTTGTAAGTGGCTGTGTCCACTGAGGGGACCTTTGGAGAAGGTGTGTATAGGGTTGTTGCAAGAGATATTGACTTCAGTTGGTTAAGGCCTCTTTTTCTTTGCTGATTTATATTGCAAATGTAGGTTTATCAGGATGTGATAGTTATAACTGTTAAGAGATCAAGTGCCCCTTGGATTCATAGGCTTGTGAATCTTGACTCAGAGGGCCCTGGAGAATAGCTCCTGAACACCTGTGAGGACTGTTGCTCAGACTGCTAAGAGGACCTTCCCCAGAAAGTGAAACGTGTGATTCCCTGATGGTATGCTCTGCTTTCTGCTTTGGAGATGAGTGCCAAGTGAGGCCTTGGAAGCCATGTTCATCTGAATATATATTTTTTTAATTTAATTAAATGTTTTTATTTTGGATTGAGTGAAAGTTTACAGGGCACATCATCAGCTTCACATTCAACCATTCAT